GTCCTCTCCAAGCCATAATAATCCATAATGTGTGTTTCTATCTGTTGTTCCATTTATTCTCCCGCAACCATGAAGAAATAATAACTTTATTATTTTTTCAGCCTGGTTTCATTACTAAGTCCAGTGCTTCACACATGTAAGAAACAAGAATCTTCTCAGCCCCACTTAGAAATCCTCTTTGGGTCTCATTTACAGACCCACTTGTCCAAGTTCACTGAYTGACTGGCTGAACACACATTTAGCATTGTCAGCCAGCTGACCTTGTTATTATACTTCACCCTATTTTCCCCTGTGTTTCTAGAAAGTGAATTAGTWAACACTAATCCAAAAGCATTCTAGTAGATGGTAAATAAAAACCAGAAAGTTAAAATCCATTATCTTCTGCCTTCTTCAGAAGGAAAAGATTTAAAACTTTCCTTCCAGCCTCCAGAGCTGAATTTCCTTTACTAAAGTATCTTTTTTTRGTAGAAAACTGCAAACAGCCTATTTCAGTAAAAGAACCACTAAAAAGGTGGGTTTGCTGTCATTTCTGCTAATTCTATTACCTCAAACTCCCCCGGTTTAACCCCCAAAGATGTGACCAAGAAGGTTTTGGTTTTTTTTTTTCCTGCATGTAATTATATATTCAGCTATTCTGTCATTTTCCTTTTCTAAAAATCCTCAACCTACTTCTGACATACACCACATCTCCTTACATAAGCAGAAGCCTTCCACAATTAGCATTCCAACTCCTGCTTTCTTTAAAGCTGTGGTACCCCTCTAATTCCATTTTTCATAGCCTAATGAGGAAAATACCCCAAACACCAGAAAACAGAGTTTTCAAAAATACCTTCACCGACTTCATATTTCATCAGGACCAAAATATTATCAAAGCCATTATGGCTGCATAAACCTTAATCCAAAGAAAACTCAAAACCTGTAATCCTCTGTGCACTCAATACACTCAAATCTACTGCAACCCACAAYCCCACTGAGCAAATGTTTCAGAAAAAGAATTGGTGACTAAGTAAACAGAATAAAGATTCCCCACGAACATATCCGCCAATAAATCAAGAATAAACTTAAAACACAAATAAGTACCCCAAATTTGCTAACAACCAACACACAACCAACAGGAACAAAGCAGGGGTTAAGAAAAAGGAAGTGCTTTTACATGAAAATCTGGCAAGACAGATATTAATTTCCACTCACCTACTAGCACATATTATAAAGCAAATAGTGTGAATGCAGTGGTGGGGATTCAACCAGAGAAACATAAAGGCACCAACAGCCTGAGAAAAAATTCTGTGTCTCCTTCCTTTACCCTTTATTATAATGAATTATATATCCTATGGCCAGATAACTCCTCCTCTGTCTTTAGCTATGTTGTCCCTTTGTTTCCATCCAACATCTCCACCATGACTCCTATCTGTTCAAAGAAATGCAAAACGTCAAAATAATTTTTCAATTACATGTTCATGGCTGTTGGTCATCAGTTATCATCTCCAGTGAAGCTAAATATTTCTGGAGCTAATTATCTACCAAAAAAAATCCCTCTTCATTCCCTCTGCCAGCCTGGGCTAGAGATAAAATATTCCRCTCACATGTTCTGAGGTTCCACTTCTTTCCCCTTTTTACTGCTGAAGTGGCTGAGTTTGGGCCCTTTTTATAACTTTCTTTGTTCACTGTGACAACCATTGCTACGCATAGTTGGACAATTGATTCTGAATCTTCACCYAGAGTCTGGATTCAGAGCTCTCTCAGCAAGAGCTGTTTCCAAAGAGAATRCAGCTTCTCTTTTAACACAAGATCCTTATTTCTGAAAATAGGTGCATATTTAAGAGCAATCATTATGGATTGAACTTAATTAAAAATGGATCCTTGAACAATTTTAATCCACATCTGTTTGAGGAGAGATTTGTTGGTGATGTATCTAATTTCCTTCAAAATTAAACTTCACTGAAATCTTATGTATATAAACTGTCTCAGAACACTTTTTTAAATGGCAGGTCTTTCTTTAGTACTGAAAGCTTCTTTAAGAAAAAAAAAAATAATGTATTACCACAAAGAATAGAAATCTATATTAGAAACTGTCTTTTGTATATCAATCTCCTTTGTTATGGATATCTCCTCTGTTACTTTTATCACCTCTTATTTTTTTTTATGAAATCAGCTCATAAATTTCCAGTAGCTACATGGCCATTTATGATAATGGCCTAGCAATATATATATATATATATATATATATATATATATATATATATATATACACATACACACATACATATATATATATACACACACATATATATAATGATTGTTTGCAAGAGAATTTTAGTATCAGAGAAAAGATGAATTTTGAGTACTGACAGGGACACTATAGTCCAAAAAAGTAATGGACAGATAAATAGGCATCTTTAAAATCACAAAAGTTATGATTATTCTGTTACTCACTGTTCAAAGGGGAAGAATAAAATTACCAGGCAGTAGGTTTTTAGTTAACAATAGAAAATACTTCTTTTCATCACATCTATTTGAATTCTGGAACTTCTTGACATGGAATGCTGTGAAAGGGAAAAGCATAAAGGAGTACTAAAGAGTTTAGACAAATTCATGGAAAACAGGTAAAGGTCTGACAGATATGATGGTCCAAGTGGCTGCTGAATAAATCTTCAACCAAGATAAGTGTTTCTCAGTACTTTGCTGCTGCTTTCTCTGCTCCCAGTCTACTCTGACAATGCTTGAGTCACAGTGGTACTTAGGCTTGTGTTCTGATGGATGAAGGATGGTACTTTGTTTATTAATAATGTTAAGATTAATTAGCTGGTTTTCCTGGTTTTTAGAAACATATGAAGGCTGGTTATTCTGTGTGTAAGTCAAGGGCAGAGAGACCYCAAACACATCACAGCTCAGTAACAGTCTGCCAGACTTACATTTATTAAATTGATTGTTTTCTGCTTTAAAAAAAAAAAAGAAAGGAAATATAAGGACACATTTTTGCATCACGCCTTGGCTTTAGGGTTGCCTCTACAATAGTAGAGGTTTGGAGATGAGATACTGGACCACTTTCTCTGAATGAAGCATTAYAGCCACCAGCTATTCCAGCTAAAGRGTAAGCTCACAATTACATCCTGATAGACTTGGGAAACCATACAAGACAGTAAAAAGGAAACAAAGGAAAAAAGCCATCTCTGTTCACAGCATCAAATTTAAGGGTTGAAGAAAAAATTAATCCAACAAATATTTAGAAATCAGTTCTGAGTGCTCGGAGAGTACAAGCCTGTAGCACTTTCACCAGAATGCCTTTGCCCTAGTGTGTGATTATAGACTACAAGGTCTATAGACCTGAAGACTCRTTTATTTGCATTAATTTAGAATGACTAAATCTTGACAAAGAGTTTTTTTCTCTTTTTAAGACTCTTTGCAAGGCCCTAACACGTAAACACAACCCTTCAATTCCTGCTCTGTGTGGGGGTGTCAGCAGCTGAACGCAGATGGATTGTCAGCATCCAACGCCACTTGTTTAGCAAACCAAATGTTTGCTTTATTATTTTCAAGTAATCAAAGAGCACCTGCTTATTTCTTGCTCTAAGYTAGTCAGACAGAAACCAATATTGCAGCTGTAGTGCTGCCATCCTGATATTTCTGATCCAGACCCTGCTGGGTGGGGGTCTCTGCGCACCATTGCTGCTTTGGGCAGGGGAAGCTGATCGCAAAATAGGAATTGGAAAAGCAGTTCCATGTGAAAATGAGCAGAGAGCAGCCCTGCCCTGAGCTTCAGGTTGTATGTGTGACCCACATCCGTGCAGCAGCATTCCCAAAGCCCGGGATGGTCTTCCCAGGGTAACTAAAGGACAAGACAACAGAGCAAAAAAATGCTCCTTATGAAAGATCTAAAAGAGGCACAAACCCATTTCACATAACTCATCAGATACCTGGTGAGTGAATGCCCAGGACCAGCTCATACACCACCCAACTTGCCCAAACCCTCCTGCTATTTGCTATTCCAGATCTGCTGCTGGTCTCCCAAATGGATTTTTTTTCCACAGCTTAAATAGTTGGCTACACCATTTCTTAACCATCAGAGTAACAAAAAGAATGTCAGATATCAATTACAGTGTTCATTAACATATTTTTTTCCCCCACCACCCATTCAGATCAAAAATGTGCCCACCAGAGCTTCAGGGATTCATGTCCTCAATTTTGATGAGCCATGGGATTTATGCACTCAGAAAGACACAGCCAGTGAATTGATGGGGTCACAGGCTGGTGTGACTGAACGCCTTTTATGATTTATGCCTAAAACCAGCTTTATTTAAAAAAGTAGTCACTGGCATAACTTGAAGTTTTAGCACTCAAAAAGCTTTACAAGTGGTTTAAACCCTGCAGGGATTAATGTCAAGTCTTCTGGAGGAAAGTTGTATCAAAAACTATGTAACACCTAAAACACAAAACAGGACTAACACATAGATACCAAAAAGCAGATTTCTCTGCCCTGACCCACCAGAGAAAAGTTGTWCTGGGCTAAATGTGCTATTAATTTAAAGTACAAGGTAACCTAAAGGATGTGCATTTTCTCTTTGTCTACTTTCCACAGTAATTTAGTGATACCAAAGGATGGCTGCTAGGTTTTGTCAGACATAAAACCCCTGCTTTATGAGGGGATGCATGGATCTGTAGGGAGGCAGCAGCTCTAGAGTACAACTCTGTGACTGATTCTGCAAAATAGAAGCATATGCTTATTTTACAGGGCATGTGTAATTGGATTMAAATTTCTGCATTTGATTTTCTATAAAGCAAAGGACATGAAAAAATATTTTTAGAATCAGAGTCTCAGTGGTGAAGTGTTTTTTTTATGTTTTACACTGGAGAAATAAATTCAACCCTCATTCTGTGTGACTCTTCAGTTGTTACAAGAGATATCCTCAGATGCAGAATACAGCACAGGGGCAAAACCCACCAGCCTCACATCCAGATGAAAACTCTTAATTTCCATCTGCCTGTAGGTTGTTTTTACTTACCAATATTGCAGTACTTTCCTACATAATTTTCTTTGCAATCACATACTATTTTCCCAGTGGAGGTAACCATTTTACACTCTCCACCATTCATGCAAGGATCATGAAGACAACCTACAAGGAAACACAACCACGGTACAAATCATTCAAGAGAATCAGTCAGTTTTAACTCACTCTAGTACATCTCCTCTGTGCATATGCATTTGCTGAAAGTTTTTCTTTTTTGCTTATCTCACGCTTGTGATAAATAAAAGAAAAGGAAACTCGACTGATTTCTGCCCACTGAGGTCTGTCTCATATTGGATAATGTCAGCTATTGAAAGATATTATCAATGAACAATAGGTAAAATGGGGGTGGTAATTATTATTACTAGTGCTGATGGTATTAACATTTCTTTCTCTACAGGGGRTTCTGCTAATTCCAGGCTTGCCACTGAGCCCTATTAAAAATCACAGTAACATACCTAGTAGGGAGCTCAGTTCAATATTTAAGATTTGTGATTGGGAAGCATTAAGTCCTATCAAATTTCCCAACTCTCCCATGGACTCCCAATGTCCTGGAAAGCCTAGGACTGACTCTCTATACTTTAGTTTCCAGTTATGTAAGGTGGGAATAAAAGCAGGTCTTAGGGGATGCTGGAGATGGGTAAAGTTTACATGCTGGCAGTTCAAGAGTGGAACAGCTTGGGAAAAACAAAGAGGTGAAACAGCAATATGAAGTGATTGTTGGTGTGCAGGGTGTGCCTCTCAAACATGGTACAGTTTTGGAGAAAAATCTTTACCATTTCTGCCATATAGCCTGCTGCATATTCTTACATGCTGCAGACCAGGGTTTCACCCCTCTCCAAGAAAACACTGAGGGATGTCCTTAAAATTCATCATAAAGCATGTAATTGCTTTCTCAAATAAGGATGGACACATTGAAGGGATTTCCTAGTCTAGTATAACTGCTTACACTAGGAAAGAGAAGCTGAAATATTGTGTTTTAAAGAGGGTGCATGAACTGCAAGGGCAGCACTGGGGTGTGTAACATCACTCAGGTGTCAGGTTTTGACCCCCTCACTGTCCTTTACCCCTCTCCACGCAGCTGTGATCCCAAACAGTGCCTTACTGTGATCCCAAACAGTGCCTTACTTTTGTGTGCCACACGCCCACACTCCATCTGGCCGTTCACACACGTGCACTGCTCCACCACTCCTCGTTGGACTCTTGACCAGCTCACACCCACATCAAAGAACTCGTAGAGGCTGTTGTCAAAACATTTCCCTGAAATGAAGTTTTACAAACAACACAAGCTTTCAGATGTAATTTCTTGCAAGAAATGGCACCACAATCTGCATCATTCCCTGCTCATCCCTTCTTTCCCATTGAGCAGATCCAAKTTTCTTGACAGTGCTTCTCAAGCACTGGGGTCACTGAGCCACCAGAGCAGCAGCTCCAGGAATCTCGAGATAGGGGTGGCTTTCTCCTAAAGCCCTGTGAGCAGGACAGCAGCACCATCACTGAAACCCTTCCCAAAGTTCGTTCAGCAAACACAGAAATCCAAATCACAGTGTCTGTCCCACTTTAACGCATCATCCACTGTGCCAGAGACAGGGAAGCACCAGGACTGAAAAAAAGCTGCTTTGTTTCTTGTCAGGAGAGACGTCTAGAGCTGCAAGGAAMATGGGCTAGGGSCAGACWTGGCAGTGCTGGRTTAATGAKTAAACTCAATGGCCTTAAAGGTCTTTTTCAACATAAGCAGTTCTACAATTCTATGAAAAGTCTTCATTAAACATCAGCAAGCAAAACTGAAAACCCTCGGTGTAAAAGCCAAATTCTTTGCTTGATGTGCTGTAAATTGGGAGTGACACCACCATCAGATGGAAAAATCCCAGAAGCAGAGCCTTTTGGCCCAACTCTGCTCCTTTGAAAATGACTGCCCTGAAGGTGGAGCAGCTGTCCTGGTGCAAAGATGACATCACAGGAAAAGTCAATAGACTCTATGTGCATATACATAAGGGATAAGGCATCACCTGAAATTGTGCTGCTTTTTCATGTCTCTGTTCCCTGCCCACTAGACTTTAGTAATTTCTGGACATGTAAGGAATATTTAAATCTTAAAAACAGCAAAGGAAGGGGAAGAGTCTTTCTGTGCTTCCCATGCTCAGAGTATACTTGGATTTATAATTGTACAGCTGAGCTATTTTCAGTTGTCCTGTCAGGAATGGCTTGTCTGTCACAACAATTTGGAAATCCACCCACGCAAACATTCATGCTGCAGTGGTCTCTCCCATCACAACARCACTACCTTTTCATTAAGCAAACATTAATGAGCTCTGCTTACAACTCCTATTTCACACTGTAACACTCGTGGAAGGAGATACTTACTGAGCTGACAGTCCTCGCCCGTGAATTCCTCAGGACAGGTGCAGTGGTACATCCTGTGGTTGTGRCTGAGAGAACAGGTCCCTCCGTTTTGGCAGGGGTTGTCTGCACAGAGATCTGGAGAGGCCACATGTTGTTAATAAATATGAGGTACAAGTCATGCTTTGTCCCTTTGGCTCCATGAACCATTTTGGTTCAACGCATGGAGGGTTTAACATCATCTATTAACCTAAAACAGAGTTTATCCAACCAATTGACAGTGGGTTTGTTTTCAGCTGTTAAAATGCTGTATTTATGCAGCTTTTAAAAACCATATGGCAATTTACCGAGCTGAGCCTTCTCCCCCAGGGTAAGCTGTCCGAAGGGCTGGGTCCAGACACTCCTGAAGTGGCCAGAGCTTCACTGTGGTGAGGAAGAAGAGGGGACAGGTGCCCACAAGATGGAGCTGTGCCTTTACCCTGGAGAGGGAGGAAGGCTGCGCTCTGCCTCTGCCCTGCCCTGCAGCCCTGGCATTGCCACATCCACCTTCATCTCCTTCAAACTGCACTGAGGACAGCCCTCGAGAAGAATTTGCTGYGGGATTATGGATTATGTCTTAGACTAATGGACAGCTGGGACCAAGGGAAAAATTATAAAGCAAAYCACAAAGCACATCCAAGTAAATCCRGCYAAGAAAGAATAGAACTGAACCAGTGTAGAGTATCTCCACTTACTAAGGAATTTTCTAAATGATGGGGAAAGCTGATGGGAGAAGAGGTGTGTGCCAAGACAACTCCTGCAATAGAAGCTTTGCTTGGCAATGTGCAATGCTAAAGTAAGAGTCTTGCTGGTCAGGCAGTGTTCCTGATTTCAGGCAGTGCCGAGGGATGTATTCTCCTGAAGTGAACCAGCAGCACGTTTACACCTGCTCCAGAGCYGGCCCAACTCCTTGTCTGCATTCAAATCTTCCTTTTTAATGCCCATCAAACTCTGCTAGGCCAGCCCCAGAGTTACTCAATCCAGGAGCTTCCTCAGCTGGAGAGTGTGTCCTGAGCATGGGATGCAGCACTCAGAGGCACACACAAACTGAAGGATGAAGGGAAGCACAAAAGGTACATCCTGARGTTTGCTACAGCAGTGTAAATCTGAGGTTCCCCTGCACAGATCAAAATATTTACTTCAGAAGAGAGSGGTGTAATTCCTGTATCCTATCAGATAGCAGGTCTGGGTGTATTCAATGATAGTTTCAATCCAGGATAACATCAAGGGAAAGCGAGTGAAGTCACTGACATTCCWACTCTTCCTGCTGTCGATAGTTATGAAACTTCCAGTGGTGTAATGTTTCCTCAAAGGAAAATCATGTATTTCCTATTCCCACTATATCCAAACCACAACCTGGTCTCCATATTCTGCTCTAACAAATTCTCAAGAATTTTTTTGTATCCTTATTAAATCTTTAAAAAGCACTTCCAGTCACTGATTTCTTTCTCAATCTGTCCCTCACTACACCCCACCCACTACTCCAGTCTGACCTTCCAGGCRTGTTCTGTGTTGCTTTACATCTTTCCTGGAGTCCAGGAACAGCTTCTGCTCCTGAGCATATGGACACATGGCAGTTCCCTGTGGGGAATCCTGCCCACCATTTGCTGTCCCTTCRCTGGGTAGAGCCAAGTCTGTGCCTTCTCAGCATTGTCTAAAACACCCTCAACAAATTTTTCTGTTCCTGCCACCCACCTTCCTCAGAGCCCCTCCTGGGATGATTCCTCTTCCTCCTGCACWGCCTACACCACTCCACTTCTTCTTTCCATATCAGTCCAGAGGGATCTTCAAAATGCTGTCTGGCACTTTTTTCCCCATGTCTGGTTCTCCCTGGGGTTTTGGCCATTTGTCCAAGATTTCCAGCATTCAGAGCAGTAGTCCTACCAGACTATCTGAGATCTGGCAGCCCCACCTATAGGGGCATTGCACATGTATGGATATGTGTGTGTACATGTGARCTGTGCATGCACAGCCCATGTGTGTGCAGCACTGACAGCTCCCTCACAGGAGGAGAGAAACTTCACAGCCAAGTTTCATTTATCCTAAAGCTAAAGGCTTCTTGGTTAAACTTTCCTTTGAATTTGGCAGATGCATTTTTCTGGATCAAAGCCTCCAACACTTGCTCAACATCGATTTTTAAGCACCCCAAATGTTTTGAAGTTGACTCGTTACATACATGTGGTATTCTTGACCTGGAGAGGGTTTGTGCTTCAACCTTTGCTCTAAAGAGCCCCCTTCTCCATGACAAGAGATACACTGCTCACTAACCTCTCATGGCCAAAGGATACTCTCTCCCTAAAATTCCATTTTTTCTTCTTTTTTTTTCTTTTTCAAGAAAAATTCACCCAAAGATTTAACACTTCAGTGGATTCTTTTCCAAAAAAATCATATTATTTTACACATTTTAAAAATCAGTGTTGCACAGTTTGACTGCTTATTTCTTCCCACCTGTCTTCCACAGCAGGCAAACTTTCYTCCTTTTGCTTCATTCATTATGCTGCTTTTCCTTTCAACCTCACCACAAACCTTTTCTCTTCAAGCTATGGCTAATGATCTGTTAAACATCTTCCAAGCCCAAATAAAGTGCTTGCTGCTTAACGTTTATAAATAAAATAACAGCAAAAACCTTTTATTAATTTTTTTTCTAAATTCTAAATGCTTCCAGAAACACAGGCTATTTTTTTATTTTGCAACAGCYAGCAGTGATCTCTTCTAGCTACCCCATCCTTTTTACTCTCTCCTTTCTTCTCTCACACTTATAACTCCTCTTATTTTTTTTTTTTTTTTTCCTCTGGAGGAAATCAGCAGCCAGGAAAATCCCTCCCTGATGTTAGGGTACATAAACAGAGATACCCTGGCAGCAAGACAGGGCAGCTTTCTTGTTCCAACCCACCCTATGCAACACTGCTGTGGGTAACAAGCAAAAAAATGAGCCAAGCAGCCCAAAAAGGCTCRCAGGCAGCCCAAAAAGGCTCACAGGCAGCCAGATGTCTGGCAGGACATTGGTGATGGGCAGACAGAGGGACAGAGGTGGCACAAGTCACCCCCAGATATGTGACACTAGGCTTGGAGAGCTCTTTCAGCTCCTGGAGGAGTCTCCAGCTGTCACCATCACAGTGCCTGATTCACTGGAGGATTAAAGCACTCACAAGTCACAGCTACCATCATTTTAAGCTCTGGGAAGCTGCTCATGAATATCTAAGTGCAGCCCTCATAACCTGACTCTTGTAAGCAGGACCAGCCCATAAAGTTGATGTCTGACACACTTGCACTACAAAGTGTGCACATTGCTGCTTGTTTTGGGGCTAGGTCACTCACCTCTCTGATCTACTGTTAATCTGCTTTAAAGCCAGGCTGGAAAATAATTTAAAGTAGACAAGTTTAAAAAGGTGATGCTGTCACTGCTTAATTTTAGATTGTCAGCATGATTCAGCTAACTTGGCTTTTCAAGTGCTCTGGTAGATTGCAATCAGCTTGGCAGTAAAGCTCCCGACACTGAGAGAGCTCCCTGAAAGGGCATGGTGGAAAATGTCCTTCGTTTGAAAGTGGGAAGTGAATATCAGGGGGTGTTGGTCGTATCTTGCAGACTAAATAAGACAGGTCACATTTGAAAAGAGTGAGATGGCAAAAAGAGGAACATGATCAGCATTTTAGACAGAGATCCAAAAAAAAGCTCAGGGGCATCAAGCTCGACCAGAGCAAAACCCGATCTTTTAAGCTGGTCTGCGGCTGTATGAAATGAGAATTATATATATGTATATTATACATGTATATATTCCTTACAAAATAAGATTCTCCAGTATCCAGCTCATGAAACATGGAAATAATGAGGCAGAGAGGAGCAAAGGCCAGTCACTGAGGGACTGCTGAAGGCAGGGATGCATGTTCCCTGGGGAACTTTCGCTCAGGGTGTCAATTAAAGTGATTTTTCTATCTAAAGGAGACTTTGCTGCAGACCTTGACTTCCCCTTTTGGACAGACTTTCACAATGAGGTAATTGTAGAACTGGAGTGCGGTGACCACAGAGCTGTTGAGCTCAGTAATCCTTTCATTATCCCTCAGTTCTCCTGCAATGAACATGTCTGGCCTCTTGTCTTCTCTGACACAGTCCAAAGCTCAAGGAAGTCTGGTCTGAGATCTGCTCTTTGCCATGACACCTCACGGAAGAGCAGCTGGAAGTGATGGCTGYGTGTTTTACAGGGTGTCAAATGTTTCTGTGCCTTCTGAAAAGCCAACTGGTCAAACAGACAGGAATTCCTTTCCTTAATAAAGGAAAAGCTAAAAGGCACATCCGAGCCATGAGGGAGGAGATGATGATCACCTTTGTGTTCAGCCCCAGCAGGAGTTCAGATCTCCACRCTGGCATTACCATAATTTCTCTGCATGGCTTTGAGTTATTCAACAGTAAATTACAGACTGTGTGRTATTCACTAATGCCATGGTTGTGCAGCGTCACAGAGAGATTATGGACACAGCTGATGAGAAGGCTTGCTCTGTGTGCACAAATAAAAGCCAAACTGAAGGTGCTGTCCCTCCTTCCTGCAGGGAGCAAAGCACGAGCCAGGGATGTGTGTCTGGAGCAGCTCAGCTGTGCCTGGACTTACCTGAGTGCTCTCTGGGCGGCAGAGAACAGTGTCCCCAGCGCCTGTCCCGGTCAAAGTTATGTGTTGTTGAGCACCTGAAAAGAATCAAAGAATCAAAGAATCAAAGCAGCTCAGTGCAGCTTTAAACAACCTGAATGTTTGCCCTGAAACTACAGAGCCATCACATTCTAGCAGCCTGGAAGCTCATGCTTGTTTTTTTCATAATTACCATCAGTTTCATTCAAATTCTCTTAAGAACACAGGAAAAAATACACTTTCTTTTAGTTRAAGTTGCTCCGTTCCCATTGTCTCACATTAAAAACAGATTAAAAATGAGATGTAAATGCAGGACCCAGGATTTTCAATGAATCCTCCAGAAAAACCCAACATTATTTCTATTTCTGGGATTAGAAAATGAAAGAGAGAATCAAAAARCAAAACCAAAGCAAATAATTTATGTCTTCTTCACTGTTACAAAACAATCAAAACAGGACCCAGCCCRTTTTTGATGCCTGATGGTTCCTGTAATAATCTGTGGAGGACTATCCAMAGAGGGACTTTTCCCTGACTTTTAGTGACAAACTTATTTCACCCTTTTCACGCTCAGTTCCTTTAAAGCATTCTTATTTTGGAACTTGCAAGACAAAATGAGGAAATAACTGACACGAGGGTGATTTCCAAAGGCACAGATAAAACCTCTCCTTTTCTCAGAGCAGGGACTGAGCCCCGTGCACCTCAGGGTGGTCTCTTATCTCAGTCTGTTATCTCTGAGGCTCAGAGCGCTCTAAGGAGCACTGAGCTGCTATTCCTCATTTGCAGAGGTGGATTTGCAGGTTTCCCCAAGGCCAAGCAAGGAGCTCATGAATGAACTGAGGCTGAATTTTGGGGGTCCATGTCCTGTCCCAATGCACCATCCACCAAATGCTCCCTGACCAGCTACATGGCCTTAGCAGAAAGCAGAGTTTTATTTACTGTGCCTGATGATCTATTTTCATTATGTTTGGCATGCCTTGAGCAGCTGCGTGAACAAATTTTTCACTCCTGGATGTCACAAGTTAAATTGAAATTTTRTTGTAGTGCATTTCTACATTTTAACTGCCCCACATTCGTCCTTAATTAGATCCCATGTGGTATTTAAAATGCATGAGTCCTGTGGAGCATCTGAACAGGCTGTGTATATTAAGTTTGGTGACCTCAGTTAKGTAAGGATCACTAAAAGAGGTGCTTGGTGGTTCTGGTGCAGATTAACCTGGCACATATTTTAAAAGGCTGCTCTCCCACAGGAACTGAGGCTGGTGTGACTGCTGGGAGTTGATGGAAATTTCCCAGTGTTCCTTCAGTGGGAAGTGGATTGTGCTCATTTTAAAGGGTGGTCTGGTACGCATGAGGATGGCGATGAGAAACGAGTGAAAAGTGTCCTCAGCACTGCCTGTGTCACTGTCCAGCAGCAGCCAAGTTCTAAGCAAAGGGGTATCTCACATTTTCCCATTTTAAAAGGTTTTTTTGTTGTCAGAGACCCTGACAGAGGCTTCTCTGGTCCTCCCACTCGATGCCCTCCACAGCCAGCCCTTCCCTGTCCCCTTGCAGTGATGGCAGCGAGGTTGGTTCTCTGCTGTGATGCCAAGCTGCCTCCTTGGTGCCAAGCCTCTTGCACAGTCACATAATCCTTTTATATTTTCCACCACAGATCTCTCACTGTCTGGGAGAGCCTCCGCTCATCCTCAAAACTATTTCACTTGTCTCCCTCTTTTTCTTTTAAAAATGTTCTCTTTGATTGGAGGCTCACCAAAAATGTGGTGATATTTTGGTCCTGTGGGATGTTACCTCCAGCAGCCAAACCAACCCAATGACCTTATTATTTCTCTGTGCTGTTTGCAAATCCACCCACGCTCAAAATTTATGGCATAGCAAATGTCTTTACATCAGCCTGTCGTGTAAAATTGTTAATATGAAAGTGAAAACATAAAGACACAGAACTAACCCATCCAGAATTCAAGCACAGGATAAGGCTTCTGCAGGGTGTGAGTCARCATCTCCCAATTTACAGCCAAAATCTCAGGCAAGATCTACTCCTGCCATTAATTTCACTCGAGGAGAATCTCAAAGGAACCCATCCCATCCTGGGACAGGGACAGGTGCTGGCAGCTTCCCTGCAGCTACAGTTTGGTCCTGTTCAGTCCACCCTCCCCCTTTGCTCCATGCTCATTGCACCCCATTTTATCTGTCCCTAAACTACTCTGTTTTTCTGAAGGTACCAGTGAAATTCAGCAGCAATTCCAGCTGCGTTTTTTGTCCTCAGCACAAAAGGAAAATTTACACTGTATCTTTACTAAGATATCATGTAAAACTTGGTAACAGGCCACGAAATAGAAATTTATCTGTGAAAACAGATTATAATTACAGGGAAATGCAATACAGGATGCTGTWAAAGGAAGACTGTTATTTAAATACTGCAATTATTTTGTATTCTTTCCTGTATTTTTGATAAATATTTATAAAGATACAATTTGTTTGTTGCTCTCAAAGAAAGTAGGGAGATCTTTCTGTGGTCAGGAGCAGATTTATGTTGAAACACAATATTTGTRTCATATGTAGTATAAGGAAAAGTAAAATTAAAGCCAATTGGAGTGGGGTTTGGCCTGCACTGAAAAGTCCTGCCTGTACTCCTGACACAAAGTGTGACTTGAGGACCGAGGATTGAACTTAAATTCATAATTCAGTGCTCTCCTGGTCTGGTTTCCTTGCATTCTCCCTGCAAGAGGCAATTTGGACCGAGCCTTCCATCATCCCTTACCAGCAGCTTGMAGGAGGCAGGAGCAGGAAGGGCACAAACCTTTCCCTCACCTATCCAGCCCCTGGGATCAGGAATTCCATGTAAGCCCAGCCTGGGTTAGTGCCAAGWCACACAAAAAATGCACAGAGCAGGCTTCCCAACTGCTATTCCGGGCTCTTTTCCCAGCATCTCTGTGCCTGGAGTCACACACTGAGTTGCTTTTAGCTCATGAGTGATGAGCAAACACTGGTCAGAAGGTCACCCACGGGGTGAAAYGGTCTGTCAAAACCAAACAGCTCCAGCTGTCCTCCTGCTCGGTTCCTCGCTTGTAAATGGCTTTTAAAAAGTCGGAAGCATGAGAGCAAGTTGTTCAAGGTCAGCTCTGAAGTGTGCTCTAACCTTGGACCCCATCCATTCACAGCATTTTCCATTTCTGTGGCCTARCTGGCTAAAAGCAAACACACAGTGTCATCTATTAACAGGATCCCTCTTAAGCATTGCATGAAATTAAGTGGATCCAAAGGTCAAACTCTTTATGCCTGCAGTTCATCAAAGAGAGSGTTCAAACTGGAAAATTATTCCAGTGCCCTTTCTTTAGCTGAGATAGTCTCCAATTCTTGTTCCCTGGAGGCTGTTCCTGCCTGGGCTGTGTCTGTGGGTATTGGTGACATTCTGAAGTGGTTTCCTGGCCTGAAGCTCRGGGTCTGTTTGTGTAAGCAGCTTTTGTTGTGCTGTTTACATTACACCAGCACTTACACTCAAAACAGATGTGTCATCAGAAAGACGCCAGCAAATGATGAAAAAATTAGACAGTCCAGTGTAAAAAATGAGAGTTCTGCCCTGCCTGGGCAAGTAAAATAAACCCTAAAACATTATCTCTGCCTTGAAAACATGCAACTGTTTGCCTTCCACATGGCTCATCTGGCATAATTTTCAAATTAATGGTACCCACATATTCTTTGCTTTGTTGCCTTTGATTTCAGTTAATATATGTTTATCATACAAGATTGTCTGCAAAGTTTATCTTTTTATTCAGTGCTATAATTCAGTGAAATTGACTGAATTACTGACTGACTGCCGCTACCCAAAAATGAATCATGAATACTTCTAACAGCTTCTGCAAAAGTAAAAGAGTAACCTTTGCCCAAAAAAAGGAGACCTGGCCTTAAACACATTAATAGAATAAATCATTACCCAGCCAACAGGAGTAATACCTCACTGTCCAAATGAGTTCTGGTGCCAATCTGGATAGAAATGAGAGATATGGGGGTGGGGAGAAAACAGTTTTCCTCAAAAATSAGATGGTCTCTGCTGCAGGACAAGTACAGCCTGCACAAATCAAACTGTCCCTTAAATGAGGGTCCTCTCTTGCTGGTGTCTGAATCTCTCCTTTCTCCCTCAGCAGAGGATTTCTATCAGTTCATACTTTTTCTGTCCAAGCTCTTGTCACTCATTTAAGTTGCAGTTCCAATAGGAAGGGCAGCAAGGAAACATTTCTGCAGTTCCTGAACTTCCTGGAAACCCAGCACAAGTCCTGGCTCGAGGGCCATGACTGCCAGCAGGAGAACYGCACCAGGTCCTTGGGCACAACATCAAGCTCATGTAAATTATTCCAAAAGCAAGATTAAAGCACTAAAAGGATGACATTTTCATTTGAATGCTATTTTCATTTACGAGCAATGTCAACTTACCATTTCTTTCTGGAAAATGAATTTGACAAACATGTGTGATGAAACCTTCCACCGAACCGGAAAGGAAATTTGCATAAATGTCCATCCTCTGTAAMCACTGAAATACAAATACAAAAAACTCATAATGCAGCTGAAAACCAACCCACAAATTATATTATATACTATTATATGAAATTATGAAGATAAATATCTGCAAGTTTTTACTCTGGACTCTGCGTCTCTGCAACGTCTAGTGCATAAGAAGAGGCTTAAAATCCTTCATAATGACTGAATCGACAATGATTAATGGACTCTGCAGTGGAACAAAGATCTCAGATCACTTCAGTTCAAAATATACTGCAATTTCTGGTACAGCAAATGCCAATTATACTCATTAATTGCAATTATCATTTCTAATTATGTAGTATTGTAATTGCACATTAAAAYAATTTCTGAAGTTATATCCTTTCATGTTCTATATCACATTGCAATATCTGTTTAAAATAATTAAGGAACCAGACAGTACAAACTGAAATAGAAACAGTCAGTAGGAAGAAGATTTTAAAGGTTGGGGATAGAGAAGTAATTTTTATCATACCATATTCCCTTTGGGATAAGCAGATTCTTTACAAGGGGGAAGAAACTGATGGGACCAGTGTCTAAAAAGGGCAAGTTTTATATTTGCCACAWCAGTGATGGCAGTCTAAGGAAGAGTGGTGGGAGTTTAAGGAAGGCTAGTGGGAGTCTATCAGAAAAAATCCTTCAAGATGAGTCTTGAGAATGAGAGAGGCTGAAGACAAAAAAGACAATGAAAAACTGTCAGAGCTTATTTAACCATTAAACTAAAAGCAATCTGTTTTGATATCCCAAAGTCTGAATGGGAAGCCAACAATTGTAAGAGAGAAATGGGGCAYTCAACCAAACTGGCAGCACAGCACATTTTCATTTCTGAGACAATGTACGACTGCTCCTCTTCCTGAGCTCACCCCTCCCATGCTGGCTGGGGCTCCTGCACACTCTTACAATATCTGACAGCCCTCACGAGCCCAGAGACACTTCAAAGAGCTGCTGAGGTCAGTTAGTAGCATTAGAGAAAAAGTAACCCATCCCTGTGATCCAACCCCTTCTTACATTGGAATTATGGTCACTCCACCTGCCCAAACTTCCTCTTTCTTTATCAATGTGAAATAACCCCTGCCATCCCCTCTGCCATCCCTTGGCAACCCCAGGTTTCATTCTCTAATTCAGCAAATGTTCCCATATCAGCTTACTCTGTCTGATAGCTCCCAGTATAAGCAGGCAGGAGAGTTGTGAAAATACATCCCCATTCAGGAGGAACATTGCATCCCAAAGGCCACTGTTATCACTTATAAAGGCACCAGTAATGGCCTAATGCATGTGATCTTTAACAGCAAAAGCACAGCACCAAAAAAGCTTTAAAAACTGAAACTGCAATGCATCCCACAGCCAGGATGAATGATCATTGGGGTGTCACCAGAACAAAGGAAACCCAGAAAGATGCACGAGACTCAAACCCTGCTCCCCCAGAGAGATCAAGGGCCAGGGTAGAAACTGAACCTGTACATACAAAGAGCTCCTGTGCTTGAAAGTTACAGGGCAGCTCTGATTAAAGGCGTTGCACATCTTCAGCCACACCAYCTTGTGAACCAGACAAACGAAAATCCCATCAGCACCTTCCCATGAATCTGCACCTGAAGGAAAATTACCTGAGATTCCTGAGCTAATCTCAAATTCCCCTTTACACAGAAATTAATATTGGCAGAGCCATTCTATAATCCTTATTCATGTCCAAACAAAGACAGGCTTCCTACCGACTTGCACAGCGCGTATAAGAACAGACAGASCATTCTTACTCTCATGAAACCTCTTGGATTTGACTTTGTACCTTGTGAGCGAGTGAACCCATGATTTGAGCCTCTTCCTGCCCCAGTTTTGTAGTGCTATAAAGAGAAAAAGAGAATGTGGATTGGAGACACAAATTCACTCTGGGAATCATACTAGTGGTAAAAATGTACTTTCCAGGGTGCCCTGAAATTGTATTTTTCCCAATGCTTCTGAGAAAATCGTATTATTTTCTTATGATTTTTGGTGGGGCACAGTCTGGTGGAAGAGGGTAGATACACATTGACTCTTGAAAAGTCTCTGTTAAACCAGGAAAACCCAGTACAACATAACAAAGGTCAAAGCTCTGCTCCATTTCATCTTTCTGTCGCCAAGGGACACATCTCCTATTTCTCTCAACAGGAAGCAAACGTGCACTCTCTGTGGCCARTTCACAGTTACAAATAATATCCCAACGTTTACCTTTTCTTGCTATTTAACTGTATCCCTCAGGGCATTAGTTACAAAAGCAGCTTCTAACTGTATTTGGGTTTGCCAGGCAAAGAGCTGAGCTGATTTTAAGCCACAGGAAATAATAAAAAAATGGTAATACACATAAAGTGCTGCTGCCACCAAAGGTGCTGCCAATTGAACTYGAGCAATTCAAAAATATCACAAAAGCAGTCAAAGAAGCAGCACATCATGAATGTAGAACTGGACAGTGGACATAAAAAGTGAGGGTTAAGAAAAGTTGTTGCTAAGATATAGAGAAAGGGCTTGRGCTTCCTTTTCTGAGGAAAGAACAGTTTTTGTATTCCATATGGACTCTRCCACCACCGAGCAGTTTGCAATGGCTTCAGCCAGGGGTGACTTTTCCTTGACCCTGAGCATTCCTCTCTGCTCCCACGTGTAATATCTGAGGACACACTTTTGTGATTCTCTGAGATTGTTATGATCACAGGACCATTTAAGTATATCTGAGCTAGTTTTAACCTAGTTAGTGAAATAAGGCCGACCATAAGGCCATGTGTTGAGGGTCCAGGCTATCAGCTGCCAGGCCATGGTGGGGTTTAAAAGCAAACTAGAAAATTCAAACCATCACAGCCTGCTCAGCAGTGCTTCATGTGCCTGGCAAACATACCCCCAAAAAAGACACAAGGCATTGAGGCAAAAACACTGAGGGGTTTGGCATGGAAACAGGGAGAAGTCTGAAGAGAACCAGATAGGCAAAGCTATCCTGTTGTAACCTAAACTGGCCTGTTTGGCTACCAGACAGCAGTGGAGAACTCTCCCTCCATGCTACTGACAGTACATGCTTGTGTCAACACATTTCTGAGATATATTTGTAAAGGATTTCAATTTCTGTGGTCCTTCCTCCCCTCCCATTCCTCCTCCATAGTAAGGCACAGATGTAAGCAACTGCTTTAAACAGAGAAAGGTTTAGTACCAGGTACCCCACAGGCCCCCCATTTAGTGAGCACTGAGTCAGCCTTCATCTGGAAAATCCCTTTTGTGTTCCCTTTGAATCTCTCTTTGTCTGTGTCTGTTCAGACTTTCACTCATCCAACCCCAAGGCTGCACGGTCCTGCCAGGCATCACAAATGATCCAGCACCCCAAAACAGAAGGATCACTTACCATCCTTGCACCATCACTGCTCAGAGTCAGAGCCAGGACAACAGTGAGAGGAGCACACACTTTCATCTTTGCKCTCCTCTCATGAAGGTTTTGCCTGGCAGAGGAAAATTTCCAGGGCTGGGCTGAAGTGTGAGGGTGAATCAGGAACAAGCTTTCAAAATGGTCTGTGATTTATGTGACTTTAGGGTATTTTAGTTTTCTAAGTAAGCAGAGCTGTTATCATTGTTAATCATTAATGTCTTTTGTCACTAATGCCACGTAGGGGGAGAGTCTCCCTAAAGCACAGGGAGTGAGGAGTTTGCAAAGTGCCTGACCCTTGGAGATGATCCCTGGTGTAAGCAGCAAGCACTGAACAGCACCTCCAGAGGAGCTGATCCAGTGTGGCTTGAAACTCCAGCTGATTTCTCATCCAGATGTTTCCCTTCTCCTCTTCAGGAGCAGATTAAAAGCATGGTKTAGCAACAAGGAGGAGCTCCAAGCAGGCCCACTCAGGAGATGACACTGCATTGCAAAACAGGACCAGATCAATGCCAATACCAAGGATTAGTCATTAACAGATTGGTACCTGCCCAGCTGGGACTGRAACAGCAGCCTTCCAGCAACACTCTGCAAAGTTAAAAAGCAAGAAAATACACATTACTCTGTTAACTCACTTCATGTACCAAAGTTTCCTTCTGCCATCACCTGAGCAAAGCCATCTCTGCCTTGCCTGCCTGRGATAGCTGCAATGCAGAATCATTTCTAGTACAGATGGAGAGGGTATTGCTAAAACTGAGATTTCACCAGCAAAGCCTATTTCAGCCCCACCTTGCCCCACAACCAAAATCCACAGGTTTGGCTGGTACAACGGTGTCTGTGCTCGAGGCTTTTGCTGATTCCTGTCAATCAGGGACCRCACCTCTTCACACCCAAAATCCCCAGAGCCACAGCAACAGCAAGAATGCCATAGTCCTTGCTTAAGTTGTGTGCTGCCCTTTGAAGTTTCACCAGCACAGATGTGGAAGGGATATGATTATTTTTAATTTTTTTGACCCAACAAGGCCATGGCAGTGTAGGGCTCAGTGATGAAGAGGAGATGCCCTTGCATCTCCAATTTTGAGACGATGGTATATCACATTGCAGGGAATTCACACCAGCTGTGAAATCACACTGCTGTGCCYTCCATCACAGTAATAACTCCTGTTAGTACAACCAGGCCTGCATGGCTTTATGGACTAAACTTTCCTACTGTGAGCAAGGCACGTAACAATGGGAAGAAGGCGAATTTGGAACTTCCTTCCTAAAATCTAGCAAACAGCAAACAGGCAGAAAAAAATCTTCTCCTTTATGAATTGCTTATTGCCAGAAGACTTGAAGTAAATAAAGCTTCAGAATAGACTTGTGGAACAGATCTGTCTTATTTTCACTCCCTTCAAACATGGAAATAGAATGTACAGCCAGTCTGATCTGCCTGAGAACACCTAGCAAAGCTGGAAGAGAGATTTCCACTTTCTTGCCTCATTCTTCAGTTTGGCCATCAGGTTTCAAATCAGTAATGCCGTTCAGTGGCTTGTAGATATCTGCTTACCATCCAGGCTACTGAACTGGGCAAAGAAAAGGAAAAAAACCACCCAAAACTCATTACCTCAAGGGGTCCCAAAGTTCTGTAGAAAGGGAGGAGCAGGGGAGCGAGGGGAGGGGGAAGATAATTCTTAAAGGCTGTGGAAATACCCTTTTCCACCCATTTCCAGATTAAAAATCATCCACTTCCAGGACCAGAAACAWTGTGTTTCTATGGTGACCAGTGAGTGTTGTAGGGAAGCATTTTTCCATGCCTAAAAGTAACAGAAAAGAAAAGCAAGAGTGGAATCTATTGTCAGTGTGTCTGTTCCCAGTTGTTGTAGCTCGTGTTGTAGATCTCCATCAAGAGCTGCAGTTTGTCCTTCTGGGGAGCCACAACTCCAAGATTTTGTCTCAAAGTGATCCCTTAACACAAGAAAAAGGAATAAACACCAACAGCAGAAAAACGAATAAACACCAACATCAGAAATAAACACCTATCACTTCAGGACAGTGCTGGCACAAAGTAAAAGACATCAAAGCCAGGAGTTGCAACAGCTGCCAGAGAAACACCGCCATAAAATGGGAATTACCCCTGAGTGAGGTCTGAACGGTGATTTCAGGGTTCAGACAGATCTGAATCACTAAAAACCCAAACTGCTCTGTGTRCACTGCCTGCCTTTGTTCAGCAGAGAGGTGTCTGAACAGGTCTTACAGCCATGGCAAAAAGGCAGGATTTGAGGTGTGGTTTTTTGCAAAATTATGTTAAATGATCAGTGAATCTTTCAGCTTATAAACAGAAGAAACTCTGCCTGCCTCCTTTAGGCTCTTCATAGAATTGTTAAAATTCTATGAAAAGTATGACCCTTTTTTTTTTTTTTGAGAAATATTTTATCTCATTGGCATGAAASTACTCAGAAAACTGAAAGTTCTGTTCCATTACTGAATTCTTATAAACTTCACAGGGTTTTGGGAGTTCATAAGTGTGGAGAGTACAATCTGTGCCAGAACCATTGTCCTGTGGATCAGGCTGATGAGCCTGCAGAGCTGCTCTCCATAACCTAACTCTTAAGTCTTATTTATTTGGGTCTCACTGTTTCCAGCCTAATGATGGAAACTTTGTATAGAGGGAAATAAGAATCAGGTGCCTATGGAGCTAATAAATTAACAACAAGAAAAATAACAAAGATATGGAAAAAAATCCATATGTCATTCAGGATAAATTCCATAACATTAGGTTTTAGACTTCACCTMAGTGCCCATTTCAAATGAGGCTCCGTAAAATCCTAAATGGATATAAATATATGTGTGTATACATATACATAAATGTAAATAAGGAAGAGAAAAATCTGAAAATAAGAGCTAGAGGAAAACCTGGCTTTGAAGGGATGGAATATTTGGCAGCTCTAAGGCCTGGACCTGCACTGCAACTCATCCCACCAGTGAAACTCCAGCTAGAGTCTGATTCTTGTTTTCAAAGAAAATTCCATTTTCCTATTAAAGAAAGGCACCTTCTGATTCTTAATTTTGCTGCACATAATATTGAACATTTCCTGCAGAAAACATAATCCAAATGCAGTTGGAGCCAGATTTTGCTACTAAAGAGAATGGAAAGTTTCAAAATAAGACTAGGAATTCTTTTTCATGTTTCCCTTCTGTATCAAAGGCAAATTCCATTATTTTCAGCATTATTTTCCCTCATTTTCCCCTTTATACTGACATCATGAGAAAAAGAAAAGGCAAATAAACACAGAGTAAATGAGAAAGAGACAGAAATATTGGTAAGTCTGTATAAAACATCCTGATAATGCTGCCTCATACATTTGCCTTTTCCTTACTCCCTACACTGCATTTTTTTTTATTTCTTTAAATTTAACAATAATTAATAAAAGCTCGCTCTGATCCCAGTCTTTGAACTACCTAGTAATAGTGAAACAATATTAACAACCATCCCCCATCATTAAATATCAACAAAACGTAAATTAACTGAGTCAGCCATCAATATGAAATAATAAAATTGCAGAAGGGTTTTTTTCGTCAATTAGTTTACTAGACATAGGTGGAAAAGACAAGTCTAGACACACACACACACTCACACATCCATTTGCATTCATTCCTATGTACCAGCTAGGGACAGGGCTGCCCTGTGACTGCAAGTTCATGTGCTCTCCATTTTTTACATTATTTTCTGACCACTGTAAATGTTTCTGAGRAAACTTCCATTCAGCTACTGCAAAACTGAAGAAAACCTATAGGCTTTTCTAATTACTGATTCCCCCAGCATTTTTGCAAATTTCTAAGCTTTCTCRTGATGATAAGGTAGCCCCAGGTAATGGGGTAGTGTTGCCCCCTAGGATGATGTGGTTTCATGGCTTTAGTTTACATTATTGCTACAAAGCCCAACCCCACTCCCTGGATAAGGAGACAATTTCAGGAGCAGCGTTGGCACCAGGAGCTGGTGCAGTGCAGGATCTAAAGCCTCTGCAAGTGTGSTCTGCCCAAGACCTCTGTACAACCTGTTGAGTACACATGAATAGGAAGTAATTACAACTGTTTCTGGCATTAAAAAKAAAACTTTTGATTTATCTTGCAGGAATGGGTACGATGCAAGCAATGTGGCAATTCTGCTCCTGGTGCACCAGCAAAGGGCTCGATACTCACATGAGTCTGATGCACAAAGACAAACAACTCTTTTTTTCCTCTGGGGGATCTGCAAACCACACTGGAGACCTTGGTGTCACTGTCAGATGGGATTTCCTTCATCTCTGCTGCTTGAAATCATTCCCATCACCCTTGCAGCCATTACCAAAACTCAGCTGTGCCCAATAATATCCCAATCACCAGAACTGAGGCTAACACTCATTGGCTAAAAGCAGAGTGACTTTTTTTAATAAATAAAGCAACGCAGCAACACTGGGAGCATATGAAGAACCCTTCCTCTTCTTTCCTTCACCTCCTCAGTTGTCCCAGCACAGGAGGGCACAGGTCACACATGTGTCAGCAAATGGTCTTGTCACATCCAAACCCAGCATCTTCACCACCAGGCAAGAAGAGAACCTCCACCTTCTCTTACAACTTCTGGACTGGTGCCTTGAAAAAAGCCATTGGGTTTCTTTTGCTAAAGCAAAGAGAGAAAGTGAAATCATTTTGCTTGTTTGCTTATTTCAGCAAGAAAAAAAAAAAATGTTTTGGCCCAAATCAAAGTGAAAAGCTGAGTTATTCATATGGGCTTTAAACAGTGAAAAATCCAGCTGCATTGCAACCACGAACACCTGTGTGTCATCCCTCGTTTCCCTGGGAACTTCAGCAATCCCAGGGGGAAAAAGTGACATAGTTTAGGCTTTCAGAGCAAACTGGAGTCACAGTCCATCCTCTCCTGCACCAGACTTTGTTGTTAATATTTGCAGTCCCCAAACTGGGGACAGTCTGTGCCACACAAACCCTTTCACAGACCCCCTCCCCACAGGCTGGGAAAAGCRCAGCTGCCAGAGCCAGCACACATGGACTGGGTGCTGCAGCACTCAGCAGACAATCCTGGGACAGAAAGAGATGCCTTCACACAAATGTTTACTCCTCCTCACTCCTCTCACCTCCCACACTCCCCCAGCACCTCCAGCAGC